CAGAGACCCAGCAGTAGGAGAGCAGTGAAGAAAGAGATGCCCAGACTGGGAGCCCAGAGACCACCCTTTAACTTCTATGGGGCAGAGGCAGCCTGTAGGCTGCCAGTTGTGACAGTCCAGGTTTGTTTTGAAGATGCTGTTTTGGAAGTTGCTCTAATCAACTGGTTGCCAAGACTGACTTACCAGGGGCCAAACAGAGTTGGGTCTGGCAAGTTAGCATAGCTGAGAAATAGTAGGGAGCCAGAGACCCAGTTGGAGCAAAGTTGAACTGTGTGGATCTGCTCAGAATAAGGTGTGAGAATCCAGGCCCTTCTCCTAAGGAGATCATTTGAGAAGTCTACAGTGGTGTAAAATTAATGTAATACTGTAAGACAGTGGTTCCCAAACTCTGACAGACTGCACATCACCAATTTAAATTGATAAAACTTTAAGTACCACCATGTTGGGTTTGAGGGGGGAGGGAGCTTAGGTTACGTTGGGGGGTTGTGTATATGTGGGGGTTGTAGGGGCAGGGTCTGGGAATGTGGGAATTGTGGGATGTGAGGGTGGGCGGGGGGTGTGAGAACCCCCTGCACTCACCCCACAGCACAGCAGCAGGTGGGGGTGCTCAGGGCACAACTCCAGCCAGTGCTGCACATTGTAGCAAAGGGCGCATCCTCCGCTGGGTATCACCAGTGTTCCCCTCACTCTCCAAGCATGGGAGGGAAGCCCCATGTGCTAGAGTCAGCTGCCTTCCCCGCCACCCAGGGGCTTCACTCACATGCCACGCAGCCCCAGCAGGGAAAGCAGCCAGCTCCAGTGTGAGGGGCTTCCCTTCCATGCCCAGTGAGCGAAAGAGCCTCATGTGTGTGTGGAGAGTGCTGGCGATACAGATGGCCCAGTAAAGGCTTTGCTCTTCACTTCAATGTGCAACGCTGGCCAGATCTGAACACCACTGGGAACCTGCACCAAGCACGAGTGCCCTATGCACCCCCATCTGCTGCTGCTGTGTACCAGTGACAGGTTGTCTGTGTACCACTGGTGGCTAGTGTACCACAGATCGGGAACTGCTGCTGTAGGGCAACAGCAGGACATGTTAATGAATACCATATGTGTGAATGAGTACCATAGTAGCCAGAAAGGTTTTTATTTCAATTTTTTTTTTCTTTTTCAGAAAAAAAATCATATTAAAGATTCTAGCCTTCAGAGCATGGCAGGCTAAAAATGATGGTATACATTAGATGCTATGGATACTTAAAGATTTTTAATTCCTCTGCTGCAAAATTAAACTTCATCAGCATTGTTCACTTCCTACAAACATGGTAAATAGATAGGTAACTATTCAAACTGAGTCGACTACAGAAAATTCTTTATACAATTGTAAAAACTACAGTAAACATATACTCACTGTGTATTGATAACAAGTCTATCCCACTGCCCTTTAATATCATCTTCTGATGGTTGTTCTGTAATATATAAACCATCGAATTCTAATTTCCTTGCAACTTCTTTTTCTCGCTTAAAAATAACCAGTGGAACCTGCAATTGAAAAATCAACATATGAAATATGAGCGAAAATTTTCTGACAGCTCTGAGAACTACTCTTTTAAGAACAGCTGGTTGCTGGGAAAAATGAAATGCAAGGATTGAATGAAGTTTAATAACTCTCAGAAGGAAAAATTATAAACTGTTCCATAGTCACAGTAATTTATAGGACAGGTTTTCAAGCAATCAAGAATTCGGCTGATGCCAGCACAGATCATTTTGTACCATGCAACCGCTTTATAATAATGAGGTCATAACATAAACCCTAGGACATTCATTCAAATGCAGGGGTAACTCTAATGGCACAGAAGCAATATAAGGGTTTGCGTATCAGCCAGAAGAGCAGAGTAGAAAGGATATGGTTAAAAAAGGGAGCTTATATGCAATGTTCCAGAAGATTGCTGAGTGGCATTATTGCAACCAAACACTGGTAAAGGCTACGAGGTTAAGGTAATTTGGAGGCTGCAGAGAAAACAGCATCCAGAGCAGCAGGGGGATCAGAGCAATTGAGAAGATGGCTTTAAATCACTTTTGCACACCCTCCCTGTCAACTGTGTTTTGCAGATTTCTCCTGTACCTGAGGATCTAGGCTGTAAGGATCTAAAAATCCTATCCTAGAACAGAATTGCCTTGTGAGAGCCGAGTCACAGTCTGAAGATATGCCTTCCATTGGGGCTGGATGAAGCTGACAGATCTTCAAGTTGTATTTGAATGGTCTTTCCTCTGGTAATAGTTACTGACAAAGGCACAATGTGACTGCATTCATGTAGACTGTGGGCTGTTTTTTTCACTTTTATTCTGAAAAGTGCTTCTCCTAAGCTTCTTAAATTATTTCTGAACTCCTCAAAATGCACCCATTCTGCAATTGACTTCTTACCACAAATGGTAGCAGACAGCAAGACAGTATTATGTTGAAACTACAGCAATTAATACTGTATTAATTAACACTGATGGTACTTAGACTATATATACTAACTATAATCCAATTCTTATTTGAAGATGTTTAAATAAAAGAAATGAAGTACATTTAATTCCGTCTCAATCTAAAAGCAATCTCTGAATAACAAAACATCACAGACAACAGCAGAGGAGGGTTTATTATTATTGCTATTTTGAAAACAATTTTCCATCAGCCAAAGGCAGAAACTAGAAATGTTCTTTTTCGAGGAAACGTCTTCTCTTTGGGGCCTTGGAAAGTGGAGAAGTGGGAAATCATTACAGCAAATAGCTACTTCAATGGGTTTTTAAATTCATCTTTAGCCAGAGGATAAATATAAAAAGTTAATTCTCAAAGCAGTTCCACACATCTCACACAGAAAAAAAGAAAATCAAGTCTCAAAACTAGGATTTGGAGATAGTAGTCTGCATACCAAATAACATTCACTCATGGAAAACGTATTTTAGCATTTACTAATCTGTGGAGGCACTGAACTACCGAGGGAAATCAGCCACTTTTGACTGCAACATGCGATCATTTGTCTTGGATGTAAAAGCAGATTACATCTTTTTTTGGCCAAGGAAATATAGCAGTCATTAAAGACAGCTGGAAAAAATAGGGCTCAATAATTTCCTATAGCATAAAAAGAAAAATGTTATCGATGCACCTTCTTTGATAGTGCAGTTGTTCTGTTGCCTTGTGTTTCTGCTAAAACAAGACTGCCAGACTAGGTAAAGGATAATAAGCAGCAATTTTCCACACCCGCTGGAGATCCAGTCGAAATACAACAGAGCTCTGGCAATACGCTGTTCTCCAACAGAACTGTTGACTATGTGCAACACTGCCACCGTGGTCCAGTTTCCACTGCTCGTATGTATCCCTTCCACTTGCATGTGAAAATCACATATAAGACCTCTTGCAAAACACTGTGGCATGAACATACATGGCTACTGTGGAGTCTATGAAAGCATGCTAAATGTTACAAAATCTGCCTTGCTCACAGGACAGGCTATCCTTTCTGAATTCGTGTGGGGTTTACATTACAACCAGCTAGCATAGATAGGATATCCAAAAGACAGCGTTTCTTCATATTCTGCCTCACCTTATTGATGCAAAATCTCAATAATTTTGCCCCACTA